ATTTAGCACTTCATTGTTACTTTCCTAAGCGATTGTTTCAAACCGACTTTTCAAGTATTTGCTGAATTAATAAATTAAATTCAAAATAAGTAAGACTTCTGAGATTTCTCTTTAGCTTAAACTTTCTCCGACTTTGAGTTTGTTTGGTCATCATTTTAAACGTATTAAAATCAAAAGTATGCAAGAATATATACCTAGATTTATAACACCAAATAGCTATGGGAATTAAACAAATTTAACAAAGTGTTGGACCTACAAAATGTTTTGGAGATTCCAGTGGATTGTGTCACAATGCAAGTGGTTTACTGTAATTTTTCAGAACCAATTACTGGATCTTCATCATCTTAAGTGAATTAAAGATTTATACAGATCATCAAATCGAATGTGTGTAAAGCAAGATTAACTGAATAGTTGATTACTGTAGACTGGTAACAACGTGATTGTGTTATACCCAAGATCATGCATCATGTCACTTGTTACAGTTGCAGCAGAAAAAATTCATATATATAGCATTCATAGTGATTAAAGTCTTAATATCAATACGGGGATGAAATTTCACCAGAATGAATATTGGGCAAAAGATATGTTTTTTCCTTTGCTTGTCATTGTGTCATTGTTATCATCTATTCATAAATAATGTAATTGATCACCTCCATGGAATTAAAATTACAGTGATATAAATGGAATAAGTAGAAAGAATATACTAATCATTCAAATTTATTTTTTCGTGTAACTACAAACCACTTCTAAATCTATGAAATGAGGAAAATTTCGCCGTGAAAAAATAATGCTTATTTGCACTTCAAGTTAACTCTGCATGTAAGATTGAAATTTAACTCTAACAATCAGTTTTGCATAAACATTCACTTTTCATTTCGCTAATCATAAAAACCATGCTGATTTGAAATAAGGGCAACAGACAAATAGTTGACCTCATCAAATTATAACATTACTTTCTAGTATCATGAAGGAATAATTCTAGCAATGCGAGAACCTAGTCAGAACGAATTTTTACTCGACTGTGTGAATTGATAAACAAGTTATGCATAAATATAATTTGTATAATTTGCAATAATTAAGAAACAGTGTAAGATCACTTTCAAGAGAAATATCACTCTTGACGTGAATATTTTAAGACTATCTCTGAGTGCCAAATGAAGATATCATATCTTGCTAGCAATTTATTCTGTCATGCAATATCGATGAGTTCAGTGAAATTATTCACTAAGCTTCTGGAGTTATGAATTGCAACAAAAAAGTAACTAAATGAATAAATAATTTTAATGTGGTCAGTAAATTTCGAAACTTTGATGAAATGTGAGTAAGCTGATGGAGTGAAGTAAAAAGGACGCAAGAGGAAGAGAAGTGGAAGGGGGAGGGGACAGAGGACAAAGCAGTGAAATGAACAAGTGTGCCTATGGTGTGCGAATAATTTATCAGATTCATCTGATCAGTAATGCCTTATAAATCATCCTCATTATGGCAAATGAGCATCGCATTACTCCTTAAGTTGCCCATGAAATGCGTTGGAGAACTTCTACCACCATTTATTCCCTTCCCATCTCCAGATCCACCGTCATCGACGACGTGGTGATGTTGGCGATTGTTGTCGCATCCTCGAAATGGCCTTTAACAAAATTCAGTTCATCTCCTGCCTTCTCTTACTTTTCCTCATCAATTATCATTCACTTTAACCATCGTTGTCACCGATCACTATACATCTATCTATTTCTTCTAGCACCTGTCTTCTTGTCAATTACACAAAATTTCGTCGGCGCCACTCATCAACTCTTTACAATACTGCCACACAACTCCTACCGTAAACCTTCTAGATGTCTCTTGCTATGACTATTAATTTAATTCATGATAATCATGCTACATTAATGGTATTTCAGACAACTTTATTGATGGTGACGTTTACACTGTTATCATTATCATCATAATCACCTTAGCTATCATAACTACTATTACTGATGACAACGTCACTGTTATCACCAAGATTATTATTCCTATCATTGTTATCCCCATTGTCATTGTTGATGCCGTCATCACAATCGGCATAATTGGTGTTAACATTACCACGTATGGAAGTGCCTTTTATATTATCACTTACAAACATGTTTTTATATTGCCACGTACGGACGTGTTTTTCATATTTTTTATGGAAATAAAATCTCTCCTACTTTTTTTTTCTTTTTAGCAGAAATTATGGGGAACTAATCATTTGGTGCGAATACATAAAAGCAACGAAGAGATATACGGATTTCGGTCAGTTTAGACAAAGAATCTGAATGAATATTTCAAGATTTGAAGTGTGCAGGATGAAACAAAAACTGAAAACATTTCTTGGACAGTATGAATCACTCTTCTCTTTGCTTTACTTCTTCGCCTTCCTTTTGCTTCCCATATTCTCAAATATCCCAAAGAATAACTTAATCTTGTGGAACAATACTTCAAGTTACTAGAAGTTAAATCTTTTCCATTGATATCTTAATTTATTTCACTTAAAAGCTTATCAGACTTCATATTTTATGAGGGTTCTACGATATTTGCTTCTCGCACAATTTCTGGAGTCAAATCTAAAGTTTTCTATATTATCTCGCACTTTATTTTAAGACTTGCTTGCATAAAATTCTAATTTCCATTATCTACGCAAACCAAAGATAAATCTTTTTGCAGTAAATCGGTGTCCCATATCATTAAATGAATCATCGCAGCTTTATTCCAGATAGTGATAACTCCTAAAACGTTTTGAAAATGACTCCAAAAAGTTCCATTTTTAATTTCGCCATCACTTTTTTCTAAACATTAAAACTAGGACATTTTTGTATTTCTTCTTCGAGAATGTGCTCAGAGATGAAAATAAATGAAGCCACAGTATTATGTCAGACTTTTTCACGATTCAAAATTAATAAAACTAGGTAGCCAGAAGTTTTCAAAATTTTTAGTTCTTCGCAAATTTGAAAAACTATGCCCAGTGGCCGGCACTCAAATCCATTTCTCTGTAACCTGATGAATAAACTTTCTGGAATTTAGAATGCAATGAGTCCAATATTTCAATTTTCTGAAACCATAAAAAGTACTTTTTTTCACTACTTAATTTTATTCCGAATTGAATCCTCAATGGATGCTCTCGATATAGTATTGATCTAATAAATCTTGGCTTGTTAGTGGAATCTTTTTCGTAAGAAATTGTTGTTACGCAAAAATGTTGAGTGAGCTTTTTCAGGATTGCTTCTTATGGCCAAAATTTTCGAGAGAATCGGGGTTTTTAGTATGTGTTTCAGTTCGTGATTAAACGGAAATTTTTCGGAATCAGAATAAAAAACTTTGTATTTTTATAGCAAATATAATTCAAAAAAAAGAGAAGAAAAAACTGTATTTCAAGTGATTTAAAGGCCCACAATTTAACAAATTTCAAATGGATGTCCGAAGTCTATTGACCTTGGATACACAATGTAATGAATTCGAAATTTGAGATTATCGTTTTTTTGTTGAAGAAATTGTATTGCATTAGTAAGCTATTTAAATTAAGTAATTTTCAGCGACTGATCAGATTTACAGTGAAAGTGCATCTTATCAGTGATAACGAAATTTTGTAAGTAATAACGAGTAAGACAATATTCAATGTTACGAGCTGAAGCTGAAAAATCTGATTCGGAGCAGGGAAAAGTCCTGACAAAAAAGGTGATTGAGCTGAAGTTGAAACACAGTGAAATATTTCAATTTTAACACCATGTATTTCCTTAAAGTTTCGACTTCTTGTCTCAAGTTTATTTGCAAGGAAACTTAATTGGGGTTTCGTTTTCATTTAAATAATTGCAAAATTAAAACATTGTGTTTCTAAAAATGAAGTCATTCAAGTATTGTTTTTATCGAACGCATTGAAATTTTAATAAATTCCGCAATTTAATATTTAATATTTGATGAGTAGCATGCTTTGAAATGCCGAAAGTTTTTTGCTTAGACTGATCTCTCTAATATTTATAAAGCTTTTCAGGCTAACAAACCACTAATGGAAAGAAAAAGAAGAGCACGAATCAATAAATGCCTTCTTGAGATGAGACAAATGCTAGTGGATGATAATAGAAATGGGGTTATTTCTTTAATATCAGTTACTTTTACTTACTTAGATTCAATTTATTTTTACCAACTCATCTCTGCCACTCCATCTTTTTGCATCTTTTATTACGCATTAGCATTATAGCTGTTGATACTGTATTTCTAATCATTTCCATTGCTTAATGATGCAGCGCAACCAAAATGATTTTTTTTAAATCCTTCGCTTAAAATTTAAAATTGAGTGGAAATGAGCAAGAGCAAAAATTTGAGTCTGGATATGGAAGATGTTGGAAAAAGCAATAAGTTGTAATGAGTGATATTAAGTTGTAGCCAGTTTTTCTTAAATGGTTGACAGAAAAAATTTCTCAATCATTTCAAGTCTCCAAATTATTCCAAATGGGAGAAAGCAGATATTCTGGAAATGAGTGTCGACTATATCAGACAGCTAAAAAGACGCATCGCTGTCAATAGCAGTTAGTTTCATTCTTTTTTTTTTTTTTGTTGTGGGGGAGAAAACGACATATTTGAATTGCAAAGTCAAAGTTGAAATTTTGAAAAAAATTTAACTTTAACCAAACTTCAAAATTAGATGACGACGAAAAAATATTTGTAATAGGAGTTTTTTGGTTTCCATTAAGAATACTTTTCGGATAAATTTGCATAAATGATAAGTATGAGTTCAGAAATTTGAGTCAAACACTTATATTTTGTTAAAATAACGATGGTAGCTATTTTCAGAAGCAAAACAACCCTTTTCGTTACCATATTTTGTGGATGGTTTCTCGAATTGTGTGCGTGAAATGCAAAATTATACACTTCTAGAAAAATGGTCAGCTGATATGCGAGAATACAATAGTCGTCTCACAAGTCATTTGACTGCTCGTCTACAATTATTTCTTAATGAACCGATCATGAAGGTAACCGTAAAACAGCAATGACAAGCATAATGGAAATTTAAGAACAATTTTTTGATTTGCTTCCCAGCTCTTTATTCAAAACTTGTAGCTTATTTTTAAAAGACAACCGACAACATCGTTTCATCGCGATAATTTTTAACAATCCTCATTACCTGCAATCAAGTTTAAATAGCTTAATTCGTGAAACTAGCTTCTGATCTATGCTGTCATGATGCTACCTTTCCCGGGAAATTTATCTCTAAAGCTTTTTTTTCTAGTTAAACCTGGAACGTGCTCTCTAACAAATAAAGTCCAATAGAAATGCAATAAAATCCTTGAACTACAGGAAATGAAAAGCGGAGCAGACTTCATTTTTGAAGTGTTCAGATTGATCTTAAATTTATAAGAATTTTCATGGAACTGAAAAGTTACGAACAAAACGCTAAGTCCATCGTCTGCATTGCAGTACCAAGGAATACCGGCATCGTTGCCTTGGGACTACGTCGATGCGAACAGCGTATGCAACAACAATCCTGGAAGTAGCAATTATCAGCAAACGACGATAGTGCAACCTTCAACCTTTCAGATACTGAATTACACAAGCAGGTGAATAAGACGGAGGTAGGCTGTAGGTAAGGGCAGGAATGAAATTAAAAACTGAGGCATGAGTCTTCATGAATTACCTTGAACAAATTTTCTAATCAAAAGCTCATCAGAGATACTAGGCTAACAAGATGAACTAAGAAACCATGAAAGTTTGCCATCTCCTTGTCCTTCGTCAGGATATATAATCTTAATGATTGAAGGTCATGAACTCTGTTGAAACATCTCCTGTATGGAAGTCATTCATAGCCATTTTAATCAGATTACAAACTTACTTCCCAATCTTGAAATGATCAATATCCTTTTCATTTATTACTTTGCCTGTGAGTTAAATTCAAACTTATAGTAAATTGGTCCCACACATAATGTCGCTCCTTACATGAATTTGAAAAGTGCTAGGTATATTGGAGATAACCTCTGTCTAGACCAACTGTCAACATTTTTGATTTCTCCGGCTCCTTAAATCTTTCTCTCTATCCTTTTCTTTCTCCCTCTTCTCCTTTTTCCCTCTTCCTCTCTTCCACTCCTTCTCTCTCCCTCTCCCTACATATATGTACTTGTAATTTTTTTTTCTTAATATATGAATAAAAATGAACACGAAATCTTTTATATAAGTGGAAAAAAGTAAAACTTTTATTTACTAAGAAATAGAACTACAAAATGTGATTTGTCATTATTTATAAAACATGGGATTGTAACTACAAAATGTCATCAGAATAGGCGTAAGTTAGAGGAAGTAAACTTTTGCACTCATCATATATCCGAGACTTCACTACACCATAAATATCTCACCGACAACAGCTCTTGGATATCTTGAAATCACTTCCCGTGAGGAGATTGAAACATTCCTGTGCACTGAAATATTTTATTCTCAAGAAATTATAGCTTGTAATGATTCATGAAAATTTAAACATATTTGACGACGAGTTTAGGCCTTAATTTATGGTTATATTAGCTACATATTTCATATTAACCTCATTATGTTGGTCATTTCTTGATGCTTTGCACGCTAGTAACTTCATCGGTAGAAACGTAATTTCCTTTTGAGCAATTTTGTTTGGAAATTTTTGATTATATTGTTGTAAGGTCATAATAATAGGTTTGATAATATTTTTTTAAATATTGGAAAAGCAATAGTCTACTACTATTTTATATTCTTTTCTTGTCATCAAGACTTGTTCTCTTAATGGCCATTTTTAGTATTGGGTGTATGACCGATACTTCAAGTATCAAAGCTCACTTTGAAGAGAAGGTGGAAGCAGATTACCATGGAAAAACATATCTGTTTTGTGATAACAACTTTAGTGATGATCATACGGCTAATCGAACGCAGACAAAAACAACTTGTGATGGTTATAGATTATGGCGCCCTTTTTAATCCTAGAATATTTTAAAACTTTTTTGCTCCCTTTCTGAAGTTTTTTGCTGCTGTAGTTTTTTGAAAAAATACATATTGACTGGAAAATATGTATGCTAGATTTGTTCCTTTAAACTACCGGAACTATAAGCTACATATATCTACTTCAAAATTCAAAGTTTAAGTAACTTAAAAACATTTAATAAAATCAAAGAATTAAGCAATTCAAACTAGTCGATTGCGGAAAAATTTCAAAGAAATCAATGAATTCTAATGGTTTTTCAAAAAAACAAATTTTCAAATTCCAATTAATGAAGACCATTATCATTTCCTGCTAAAACTATAAATTTGTATACATGGATATGCTTTTTTTTTTCACGTCATTCCATTATTATTCATTCCTGTTATTGACAGTTATTGCAATCAAGAAGTGGAAACTTCTTACTTCGATTGCTGAGAAATTGCTATAAATATTAACTGAGCTACGAATGAAGATCAACTATTTATTAAGTGGCGACGATTCAACTTTCCATTCCTACTCAAATTCGGTTAACATTAATCCGTGAATGAACCTTCACCAGTTTCTGCACATTTGTCAGTCTAAAGATCTCATTGTTATGATTTGTGCAACTACTGTTCATCTCTACTTCCTGTATTTATATTTTCCCTTTGAATTTTGTTATGTATTCCGACGGAAGGTTTTGAGCATAAATAAAAATCAATGGTAAGCAACTTTGCAATTATCCAATGTTTAAAAGTTTGAAAATACTTCGAATTCAGAGGTAGCAGGTTAAAAAAAACAATTAAATGTTTGCCAATTGGATTTACAAAGAAAAAATAAAGCAAAATAAAATCAAACGCCAACACGCCACATTTCCTTCATTATAGGAATTTCCTTTGCGAGAAGTACAAAAAAATGCACTTTTCAGAGCAATTTTTGTAGATGAATTAATTACATTTAGCGTTTTTTTTTAATTTTAGTTTATGCAATTCACAAAAATAATTTTCCCTTCTTCACCTCCTCACTTTTTTATTTTTTTTCATTTGTTTCACTTCATTCTAATACAATCATTCAAATTTCACCTTCGCGAATTTTCTGCAGAAGTTTAGTTGGCTAATTACTCACAAATTATTATTCAACTAGAACTGGTACGCTAACAAATATACTCATTGAAGGGGAAAAATCAGGCATTATAGCTTGTAAAAAAATTGGTAAATTTCTGTCGTCTTGTTGCTATCTTTTAATGAATGAACTCTTTCTTCCAAATAAAAACAATAAAAATTTTGCCACTTTATAAAATGGATCGTTCAATAAGTGAAAAGAAATTATTAATTGAGCTCATCGAAGTCAATAAGATGTGGTATTATTTGGGGAAGATGTGAGCTGTCCAGATCTTCAGTAATTTTTGAGTTAATTTTCAAATCGTTGCTAAATTTCCTGACTCAGCAATGTTCGAAATAAATTCGTTTATTTTTATGCAAGATGTCGGCACCATCATAGGAATTACAGAACTTCGAAAGCACTAAAACCATATTTGTATGGGTGATTTCATACTTCACTTCTTGATTTCGGTCGTTGAAAGCATGAGAAAAGCTGAAATTGCTTCTGCACTTTAAAAAGACACCGTTAAGATTTTTAAGATGTATGGGAGTTTATTGCCCAGCCTTGGCTAATTTTTAAATCCTCAGTTTTTAAATATCACTTATTACAAGTAATGCAATCGACTGGTTGATTTGTGAAAAATCATAAATCACTTAAATACGTTTAAATTTTTTAAAGGAACTTTTTGGTTTTTAATAAAAAAGTAATAGTAAAATAATAATAATAATAATAATAAAAATTTTAATATAATAGGCAGTTTTAATAAAAAAAAAGAAAAAAAAACAGTTGTCGTATTGAGAAGTCAGTACTGGAGTGGAATGCGTAAGAATCAAAATTTATTTAGAACATGCTCCAATTTCAGAAATATAATAGAACGAAAATTTTCGAGGTGGTATTTATTTTTTATTTCTGTATTGATTATTTTTCAATGTTATTCGATTCTTCCTAACAAACATTTCTAAGCTCATTTCGACTGAATGTCCGTGTACTTTTTCTTCAAAATAATCCAACATTATTTTTGAAAAAGTTTTTCATCTTTCTGGAATTGATATCAGATGTGAGACCAAATATTAACCTTGATCATTTCCATACTTTGAAGTTGTCAGATTCAATTTTCGCTGAATCTCCTTTGTGTGCTAAGTTGGCATTACCTGTATTGGTTCACTTAATGAATTTTCTGCTCTTTGTCATACAGGTGTAGTTGCTTTAGACAATATATGTCGGATTACCGAAATTAAGGCTACGTTCAAATAAAATCCCTGCGATATCTACCAGACAGGATGATGAAATCTTGCAAATAAAGTGAAGGCAATGAGGAGCATATAAGTTAATAATGGAGGAAATATCACAAAGACATCTCAGTACCGTGGCTGCATAACGGATCATGCCAAGGGGCACCATACCTGCATAATAACTCCGGTGGAACTTATAAAGCTCCTTCCCGAATTTTAGGTTCATTCTAAGATATATATATATAGAAAAAAATCTTACACACTAGTTTTTTCACAGTCAAGCAGATCACAACGTGCTGTTTACCTGTCCGTCACCATCGAATAACGAGTTACAATAATTCTTCCTTCCTTGAATATATGCCATCCCTCAACATACACTCAGCTCAAAGAAGGACGAACTTTTATTTCTGAACCATTATGCAACTTATCAACAATCCGACAATCTATTATTATCGAAGGCAAGGACAAGGAATTTGTTAGTTGATCATATTGCTTGCGGATTATATAACTTATTTATCTCTGCTTACAAATTTACATAAGCTTTATACTTTCTTTTTTTTTTGCTGTTGGTAACTAATGCAAGAATATCGAATAATCTCAAAATCTCGGATGAAATCACGAATATCACATTTCGAATAAACCTATATTGCTGACAAACGAAGTCAACAAATTAGCCTTCCGGACAATATATATTTGTTTAAAGAGTTCAAAGTAACCTCAATGAAATAATTTACTGGCATGTGTGCTCCAGCAAACCTGAAATTCCGGAATAGTCTGAACAAAATTAAGAACCATCGCCTTTCTTTGAAAAAAATTTTGAGAGCAAAAAAAGGGTCCATTTGAAAACATGATAAAGAATGATATACCCATGATGGCATCTGTCGTATAACGATAAGAAATTCACAGTCATCAAGAAAACGAAAAAATAGAGATTTTTTTACAGTACGTTAAGAAAAAAAACAGATGACGTATGTCAGTTGACACGATCTTCTGAATGTTTTCAATCATTTCTCATATTTTTTTTAACAAATTGAGTCCGTTGTCTGGATTTTTTCAGATTGCAGTATTTATCTGCAAATGATCGTTTCGAAATTTCTTTCCAAGCTTCCTTCACATTTTCTTCAGATTCTCGAAACATGAATTTTTTGTCCTCATTTTCAAACAACAGCTTCCGTAGAATATTATTTTAATTGGCCCACATCATAAATTATAAAAAATTTATGGAATTCGTAAACAGACTAATTTATAAATAGAAATGTAAACAGATTGAATACGTAAAAGTAATTTATAAATCTTTGCTATTCTATAAAGCAACTGGATGCGGGTAACAAGTTCAATTCTTGTCTGGAATATTTTTTGCTAATTTTATGACATTGGAAATTATTATGTACTTTATGGTGGCGAAAGTTCAAAGGATGATAACATCTATCATATTGTTTGTAGGTTGACAAATATGGCTAAACTTTTTTTTGGAGTGCTTAATATGAACAAATGTGACTGTTACTGACTAGAAAAAAACCAAAGATTTAACATTGGTATTCAAAAGAAAATTATTGCTATTCTTATAATAAAGAAGTAACTAACAGTACCATAGGAGAAAAGTATGGCCTCAATGTTGAAAGAAATTTGTTGTGATATGAAATAATTATCATTTTTTTTGACAAAAGTAGGTATAATGGTGAGGAAGAAAAGCACTTTTCTATTGCATTATTTTCATTGATAGTGGTGGATAAGTTCAATGATTTCATTTATCTTATCTAAAGATTGCTTCATTTTCCTCTCTGAAATGAACAAAATTTGCACTAAAGCATGACAACTATCAGTAGTTACGTTGGCAGAAGTTATATGACTAAGAAAGGGGTGCATATCATAAAAAATAATAACTAGGATGAAAATATATCATGGAATTGTTATTAATGTTTGAAATTTAGCCCAAATTCATTATTGTTTTTCATGTCCATTTTAAACTGAAATAATTATTTAAAACAAACCAGAGTAGCAATGATGAATGTATTTTATTATTGCTATTCTGATTTGGTTTTTTGGTATAAAGTCATTGTAAATAAACGATGATAAATAAAGTAAAAGATTACATGTGTTATCATAAAAGTATGAAAGTAGGTGAAAATTAGGGCAATTATTGTCGCAAATAAAAGAATAAGACATAGATTTATTGTTCCCGAAATAGGTAATTGGAAGCTACACCTTTTCTAACCTCACAATGAAACATAAAATCGACTTCGAAATCATTCTCGTCCTGCACAATGACCCACCGGAAGAAATATTCATTCAATCAGTTGCCATAAAATCAGATTTGGTCGTGAAGATGCTATGTAGATATGGTAATAGTTGAAAAATGTCTCAGATAAGCAAATGTTCTACAAATTCCAAGTAATTCTATTTGTTAATGCTTATCAACAACTACTAATACGGTACAGGCAGCAACTTGACTAATTAATCGATCTAAAGATTGCTGTAAAAGTGTGTTCTCCGTAAGCTTGCGTTGCTACTATCATATGAAATATGCCGAAATGACCAGGCAATCCTGACAACCTGGCTTTGATGAATAAGCACGTTCTTGCTCCTGGCTGTTAAAAATTTTTGATTATGGTAAAATTTCCTTCAAACATTTTCAAAATCTATCTACAGATGCTGTATTTGCCACACGATGAAAAACTCACTTTCTA